CAACCTCTTTTTTTCCTTTATCCTTCTCGACGAACACAACAAGCAAAACACCCATGAAATCGTTGTTACTTTGGAGTCCCTCCCTACCTGTGTATTTTGCTGCTGAGCAGAAGATGAAGCAATCGAGAGTTGTTAGAGCATCCCTCGCTGCCAAAGCAATCGACGGCAACCTTGTTGTTGCTTTCGCTTCCTTCTTTTCTCGATCAAACCAAGGCAACAATGGTCCTTTCTTGGTTCACCCATTACCTAGTTATCTCGATTAACACATTTTATACAAACTGATGCAATACCAAATCAAGTTTGACAAGACCACAGAAAAATTGAGAACCACATGTGTAACGACCCAATTTTTACGTCCGAAAATTTCATTTTAAAACATTACTTTAGAAAACATTAATAAATAAAAACATTGTTTGATCACACCATAACACATCGTAACCATGTTTTAAAAGGTCAAACCATACATCCCATCAAAATATCAGAGTACAATCCCAGTAAATCTCATAAATGCGAAAACCGAAGAGTGTGTGTATGACGTGCCGCTACCGCGCCGGCTCCTTCCCCTTCGATGCAGAGGTACCTGAAAATAAAACTGTAAACGTAAGCACAAAGCTTAGTGAGTTCCCCCAACGTACCACATACCATACAAACACATAACATACGTACTGCCAGGCTATTCTGGGGTGCCGACCTACCCATACGGCCATTCTAGGGTGCCGTCTTACCCGTGTCAAGCCATTCTGGGGTGCTGACTACCCATGTCAAGCCATTCTGGGGTGCTGACTACCCATCGGTCCTAACAACCGATCCTCGGGGACTGGTCCCCTCCCGCTACCTCTATCGCATAACATAATAGACCAACATACGAGCATACCATCACATACAGTCAGATAATTCTGGGGTGTCTGACTACCCAGCGGTCCTAACAACCGAACTCTACTACTATTGCATATAACGTATCATGATAGCATGTAACATAACAGGTAATAGCAAACCTAGATGATATCACAAAGACAATCATCTATCATACATCTCCTACTGGTGGGCCGGCCGTGTGGCCTTAGACCCACTACTACGGGGAAGGTAACTCACCTCAAAGTAGCTGCTGAACTGATCGGGAACTAACTGACCGCTGCTGCTCCGGGAGTCCTCCGGCTGCAATTCCCACAACATACTCAATCAAACACTGCTAACTGCCCTTTAGGTAAAATGACCATTTTACCCCCCGGTCTAGCTCTAAGCCAAAGCTAGAGTCAACTTTCAGTTGACCCGACTCGCCGAGTGGATCTCCACTCGCCGAGTCCCTAGCAAACTATTGTCCTGGGTCCCTGGTTCTACTCGTCGAGTCGGGCTATGACTCGACGAGTTCACCTTCTAACTGTCATTCAACTCCTTCATCCTACTCGCCGAGTTGTATGAACAACTCGTCGAGTTCATCTTCATCCGAAGAACACTTTATGCTAAGACTCGCCGAGTTGTATAAACAACTCGCCGAGTCTGTTCTTAATCTATGAAGATTGCCTTGTACTCGCCGAGTCAGGGCATTGACTCGCCGAGTCCTAACATGGGTGAGTTCAGTTCCCAACTCACCGAGTCACCCCCCTGTGACTCACGGCTCAACTCGACACATCATAAAGGGACCAAATCGGTGACTCGCGACCAAACTCGCCGAGTCGCCGCCATGCATCCACCAAATACACCGATTTACTCGATTTCAGTCCATGCCAATCATAGATCTGGACTTCTAGGACACAAATCACACGTAAAGTTTCCAACTTTACGTGTGGATATTCACTAATGTGGATTTTAGGGTGCAAAATGCCTCAAAAGGGTAGATCTAGGATGAACAAGCCACATGGGGCCATAAAGCTAACAGATCTGAGCTCCTGGAGCTCAATCTTGCCTAGATCTAAAGGTTAATCCACTTATTACGAATCATTAAGCACAAACAAGCTTGAAGAATTGCTCAAGAGTGTCCCAAATGAAATCCTAAGCATAGAAACAGGGGAAAAACGAGATATACCTCAAGGAAAATGTTGAAATGACACCAAGATGGCTGATCTCCTTCCCTTCTTCTTGATCTACTCCTCTTTCTCCTCAAAACCTTCAAGAACACACCAAGAACACTTCAATTTCTCAAGGAAACAAGGGAAAACGATGTTGGGGGAGTTCTGGGGGTGAATGGGGACGAGTTGGGGCGGAATGAAGGTTTAAATAGGGTGCAAACCCTTGAAACTTAGGGTTTCATCCAGCAGCGGTGACTCGCCGAGTCCAAGATATGGACTCGCCGAGTCGCCCACTTAAAACGTGTCCTGAGTCTCGTCCCTACTCGGCGAGTCGGACCTTATGACTCGCCGAGTCCAAGGCTAAAATAGGGCAATGCTCAAATAAAATTCACATACCGGAAACCAGGTGCTACAACATGGACCAAATTTATCATGTTATAAAACCGTTTATCCGTCATCTTCAAAACCCATATCTTAAAGCTTTGATCATGTTTGTTTACTAAATTAAAACTAAAATCCAAAAAGTCGATTTTTTTCTCTATGTTCTGCTAATCATTGTATGTGACTATGTATTTGTGTTTTCAACATGTATGTATATGTGTTCATCATTGTTTGTGTTGTACCCATATCTTAAATAAGGATGTAAATGAACCGAGCTACACGTAAGCTACTTGAGCTCCGATCATTAAAAGCTTGAAAACAAGCTGAGCTTAAACGAGTTCGACCCCGAGCTCGAGCTTAGATTAAGGCTCGTTTATTAAACGAGCTAGAGTTGAGCCTTATATATAATGATCGTTTAAGCATGCGAGCTTAAACTAGCTTTGATAATATATATATATATATATATATATATATATATATATATATATATATATATATATATATATATATATCATTAAATATGAAAAAATAATTAAAAAAACATATATAATTAAACTGTAACATCTTATTTCGAGAAATTTCTTAATCCGGGATTATGTACAATAAATGGATCAATTAAAGGCCTTAGGCTTCAAAGGAATAAGGTTTAGACCCTATTGGATGTTGATAATATTGGTTATGTAATCCAATCCCTTGGTTTGTGTTAGAGTCAACGGGTAAAACGGAAAAAGTGATGTTTCAGACTTCTTGCATTAAATATGGATTTTTTCGAGAAGTTTTAAGTCTAAGATATCTAGATAATATTGTGAGGCTCTTTAATACCTTTCCGTATATATAAAGATTGTTGAAAATGGAGTTGGAACAAATAAGTTATGACCGTTTGAAGTTAGGACTATTTTGGCTTAAGCCGTGTATGTTGGGTATACGGGAGAAGTACGTTGGGTGTACTAGGGCATCCCTGCATATGATAGGCGTACCAGGAGTATGTTGGGCATATGCGCTCAATGTCCAAACCCTCTCGTGATTTGAGGCCTATTTAAGCTCCTTAACTTCCACAAACTCATTACATTCTTAGCCTCTACTTCTCCAATACCCTCCCTTGAAACCCTAACCCTGGTTTGAGCATTATGAGCAAAAATAAGGTGTTTTTAAGTACTATGGAGTGTTCTTGGTGTATCTTGGACAAAGATTAAGCCAACAACAAAAGATTAAGTTGCAAAAAGCATATTTCTATGTATAGAAAAAAGAATATGTACTAAACCTACTTGGTTTGAAGCCATTAGTGCCTATAAAGACGAACTACAATTGTAATATTACGTATGAGAGATATTTCAAATAGAAATAACAACATGATATGTCAAATTTATGAAGCACCACCTATAGTAAATGAGGACACTTTTATGATATGCCACAATTCATTATCAAACAACCATGGACTTAGTAATCATTTTTTTTTGTATTGTTTAAGGGATATTTTCAAAAAACCCTTAAGTTTGTTAAACATTGATGGGTTTATACCAAGTATGAGTCTATGTGTGGTAAAACCTAATGGTTGCGAAACCTTTGTAATTAACATATTTTATCAGGTAACCATCCACACTCTTGCTAACCCTGATTTATTAGACGACAACATGGAAAATAAAAGGCATTAACACATAAAGTCTCATTCCTTCCTACAACTCCAAATATCATAATAAGAAAGAAGGAAAGATAATTCCACAACCTACACATTGGTATAAGAGACATATTGTTAAATGGAGAATAAATTGTATATAACACATATATCCATGAGAGAAGTATAAAGGAGAGGGGGGGGGGGATGAGACCTAGTTTTTTCCATCCATATTTTGATAAGGGCGATTGTAAAGTTAGTTAATAAGATATCACTGAAGATGGAACCACTTATTAATTATGATCACTACTCAATTTCTTCTTATTATGTCCTCACTCCTCATTTTTTTTCTTTGATTTTGTAAGAAAAATGATGACCTAATGTAGGAAGCCTAAGCAACGTGCAAAACTGAACACCTAAAGAATTTCCCTTTGGGTCAATCATTCTCATCAATCAAATCAAACTCATTTTATCCTTCAAATTTCAAAGAGATATGCCAATGCAACCACATATTTAAATCACCTTTCGTTTTCAGTTGAAGAAGGGTCACATAGGTAACAAATCGGTTGTGAATAGGTGAGTAAATGAGTGAGAAAGAGACATAGATAAAAAAAGCTTCTCCAAACAAACATATAAGTAGATTATGGGGTGCATGTGTTAAGTTCTCCGAACAAACCTACAAATGTTGATTGCTTTGTAATAGAAATATATATTTAATCGGTGTTAAAGAATTGTTGTAATTTTTTTCATATTAATTCAAATTAAAACAAAGAAAACCCAAATAACGTGATAAACCGGTTTTTGGATCCGGTTTATGTTCAGATCCAAACCACGCATTGGATCCGGTTCGATTCTTTATGTTTGTCCAATTCTAATCTGAAGGCCTTCCTTGAGTTGACACAACTTTGAACAAGAATAATGGACTCGAAAAGTACTGGATGACCCATTGACTCAAAATGTTTTTTTTCCCCTTTCAGCCCACAACTGCAGAAGGGGCAATCCAGCCACTTCTCGAAAGTCGAAAGGGTTTACGATTTGTTTTCTTTATCGTCTTTCATTATCTGCCGGAATATCAGTTGCCGGTGAATTAGGTTGAAGGGCAAAATGACTGAAGTAGCTAGCAACGTTGTTCACGAAGTATTAGGTCCAAGAGCACAGGATCTAGACCAGCCAATCATCGATTACATAATTAACGTCCTCGCGGATGAAGATTTTGATTTTGGATTTGAAGGCGAAGGTGCCTTTGATGCCATTGGAGAACTTCTCGTTGATTCCGGCTGCGTTACCGACTTTGATGAATGTCACTCTGTATGTACTTGTAATTATTTCGTTTTTTGATTGCTTTTTCGTTAATTTTGTTATGTATTCACTTACAGTTGTTAGTTACGCGTAGTTTTACCGATGCTTTATTTGGTCATTGTTATCAATTTGTCTAATTTCTGGCAAAGATAGATAGCTTAGCTTGAAGTACACAATTACTGATAACTAAATGGTAATCAGCTCAAACTGCATAGTCTCCACTCAAATTAGACAGTCTTTTCATTTTTGGTTTGATCATCCCTAACTAATCCGGCTTTTCGGATAATAATCACGTTAGTTTTGTGTGCCACACTGCCGTTTATAGGAATTCAACTACTACTCTACTCCCCTGATTGAATGACTTCATTGTAAACAAATATATTTTCAATCTGATAAACACAAAAGCAATATTTGTTATTGACTTGTCATTGCTCCTCAAACAATATTTATAGATTTGTAGCAGACTGTCTGAGAAATTTGGAAATCATGGTTTGATCAAAATAAAACCAGCAGTCAGAAGCCTTGCTACACCATTTAGAATGAACGAAGGAATGGATGAAGAGAAAGCTCCAAAAAGGAAACCTGAGCCAGTAGATGGTCCTCTGCTAACTGAACGTGACAAAATCAAGCTTGAAAGGAGAAAGAGGAAAGACGAGCGTCAAAGAGAGGTATTTCATATGTGTAAAGTACATATATAAAGTTTTAGTATAATAGTATATATCATCATTCATCAAGGATGGGTAACCAAGTATAAGATTTGCTCAAAATAGGCCACTAACATGATTTTGCATCATATCAGGGTCCTTAAACCTACAATTATTGTTTGAATTATACCAATATGACTGTCTATAAACCTTGGCAACAGGTTTTACGTCCTAGTTGGCATCCACCTATTGTATATCTGGCGTCTATGTGGCAAAACTTGTTGACATCACCATTTTTTAAAGGGTTAAAGTTGAAATTGGCCAACCAACCATTTATGTTTTTCTAGAATGGCCACTTATTTATTTATTTATTTTGTACGCCTAGTGTCCCTAAACAATTTTTTTGTCTTATTTATACCATTATAATGGTATAAAGAGCACCAAGTTCTTTTAACAACCAAGCCTGCTATATATTAAACAAACTGATACTTACATTAACCCTTGTGGAAGTTATATCATTGGTTACAAATTACACCTGTTAGAGCTTACACATAATAAATCAACTAGGCTCTATAGACTTAAAAATGTTGATACAATAATATGTGAGCATTTGTCTTGATTCAAGGAGTGTAGTTAGTTTTATTTCTGTGCTGTCATGTGTAATTCCTATATGTTGATTGATCAGGTGCAATACCAAATGCATGTAGCAGAAATGGAAGCAGCAAAGGCTGGAATGCCTGTTGTATCTGTAAACCATGACAATACTGTTGAAGGACCTTCAGTTAGAGATATTCATATGGAGAATTTCAATGTCTCTGTTGGTGGACGTGAACTTATTGTTGATTGTACTGTAACACTTTCTCATGGAAGACACTATGGTGAGTCTTATTTTTCAAGAAATCAGGATTTAATGTCTTTTTTTAAATGATAGCATCATGATGTGATCATGTGATACATTCTTTACAGGGCTTGTTGGTAGAAATGGAACAGGAAAAACAACTTTCTTAAGGTATATGGCT